CCGTAAAAAATCCAGAATTTGCGGAATTGTCACAGCTGTGGCGATGATTTGATGGAAGTGACACCAGGAAGAGAAACTGGTCCATGTCGCGTCATATATCTGCACATTGGAAGGTCTCCTGGATGCCTGGATAGTGCAGATGACTCTGTCAGAGAAGCTGCCCTGCCTTAGGAACTCCCCCTCAAGTGCCACACGGCCAATTGAAGCCATCGAGGGTCCGGGTGAGGAATGGCCCCCTGGTAGAGGGAGATCTGCTCGTGAGGAATGCGCCAATGCTCAGTCACCAACAGACTGACAAGGTCGGCGAACCAGGACCTCCGTGGCCAGTGCGGAGCCACGAGCAATACCTTGGCCCCCTCCAGTAGGATCTTCCTGATCACCTGAGGTATCAGTGGGAGGGGCGGAAACGCGTACAGCAGTCCCGGGGGCCAGCGGCATCGAAGAGCATATGTCCCTTCCGCGTCAGGGCATTGGAACCTTGAAATAAACTGGGGGAGCTGAGCATTCCCAGGACTGGCAAATAGGTCTAGAACACCTGTGCATCAGCTGGTGGAACAGAGATGGATGAAGCTGCCACTCCGAGTTGCTGATGGTCGTTCTGCTCAGCCAGTCCGCCGTCACATTGTTCTCCCCGCAGATGTGATCCACCCTCAATGACTCAAGGTGGCGTTCTGCCCAACGCCCCAACGCTTCTGTCTCCGACATCAGGGCCGTCAATTGAGTGCCGCCTTGCTGATTAACGTAAGCCTTGGTGGCGATGGTGTCCATCAGAATGAGGACATGACGGCCCTCGATGAATCGAGAGTGGCGCAGGGCAAGTCTGGCGGCTCTGAGCTCCAGCCAGTTTATGTTGTGGGTGAGCTCCGTCTGCGACTACCTGCCCTGTGTCACGTGAGTCTGTAGGTGAGCGTTCCAGCCATATAAACTGGCGTCTGTTGTTATGACCAAGCACTCTGAGTTTCTTGAGGTCCAGAATGGCTCTCACCCCTCCCAAAGCTTTGGAAACCAGAAAGAGAATCGAGTAGAATTCCCCACTTTCCTGACCCCGGGGGGCACCTGCTCTATGGCCGCTATGTCCAGTAGATGCTGGATTTCCGCCTGCATCATTTGTCACTTGTGGGCCGACTTTGGGATGGGGCAACAAATGAAGGACCAAGGAGGAAGGGATAGGAAGTCTAAGGTGAGACCATGACGAATGGTGTTCAGTACTCAAGGGTCCATTGTTGTCTCCTCCCACTGGTCAGCGTAAAGCTGTAGCCGACCCCCAATGGAAGGGGACCGATGACGGTCACTTGGATCTGCGAAAGGAGCGGTTGGAGAACCCCCCTTGAAAGGACCTGCTGCCTGGGTCTGTCCCTGAAGGACGCCCTATCCTGGGTGCAGTCCTGTGATTGGGAATAGGACCTGGCAAAGCTCCCCGAGGTGGAAGGGGAGTCATTGTTCCGAACGGACTGCCTACAAAAATAGGGCCGACCTTTGCGGTCCGGTTTCTTGGTGACCGCCAGTAAAATCTTCCGTTTGTCCTTGGACTCAATCAGGACAGAGTCCAAGACCTCCCCAAATAGCTTGCCATCCTTGAAGGGTGCTGAGGCCAACTTCCACTTAGCCTTCATGTCTGCCTGCCAGTGGCGTAGCCACAGCAAGCGGCGGGTGGTCACATTTGAAGCATAGCCCTTGATGAAAATTTGGTGCCATTAAGTGAAGCGTCGGCCGAGTACTCGACCGCTGCAATGATCTTATTCATCTCTTGGCGTGACCTAGTATCCCCAGCAGGGAGGTAGGCTAACAGTTTGCAAAGCCAAAATAGTGCTGTCCTGTTGAAGTAGGAAGAGGAGGAGGAGGCTTTAATGGCCCACTCAGT